TTCGCCCTAACATGAAATCTAACTACTCATAATAATGGAAGAAAAATAGGAGATTGTCTTAGAATACATCACCAAGTTTGAAATAAAGATGTGGAAGAAAAAGTGGAATTCTTGCACCAAGATCTCCTTCCTCTTCCAATGAGTGCTTCCAATCTTCAATTCTTGGTGTTAATCTTCTTAAATTTCTCCCTTCAATCTCCCTTCTTGTTGTTTTTCTCTCCAATCTGTCAAGAACGCATGGCTTGATCCCCTAGATTTTTAGTGTGCGGCTCCTCCTTCATTTAGGTCTTCAATCTTGTGTTTATATTGTCTTGGAGTTTAGGGAAAGATTTGGAGATGAGTTGGGCCGAAAAAGAATGGTAAAAACCTAAAAAAATTACTCTCGCACGGCGGCGCCTAGGTGCTGCGATTTGGGCGCCTAGGCGCTGACTTTCTGTCAAAATTTCAGCATCATGGCGCCAAGGCGTTGAGGGATAGCGCCTGGGCGCTGAGGACTACTTCGGTTGCACTGGACAGCTTTCAGTATTTTTATCATAACTTTTTCGTTCGATATCCGATTGAAGTGATTCAAGATGCGTTGGAAAGCTGATTCAAAGGACTACAATTTTTCTTCAGGAATCATTCTCCAATTCGTCGTTTTCTATGTCAAAAATGAGTCTAAATGTGAGATGAAAACTCCGGCGCAAAACTTTTTGGTTGGAAAATGATTTATGATCATATCTTGACTAAATTTGATCCCTTTGACACCTTCCTTTGTCCAATTGGCTTCTAGAACTCTCGGATCTTCATTTCAAGTTTCGACACGACTTTTGATTAATTGCATTTTAATCCTCGAACTTTGGATCTCTTACGTTTTGGTCATTTCATCCAACTTCGCTAGCTTTTGCCTATTTCCTTCATTTGACCTCTTTTAGCTCTAGTTTTCTCCATTTCCATCAATCTACAAAACAACACCAAAATCACTTGTTAGCACTTCTAAAATACTCTCCAAGATAGCAAAATCATGAAATTAATGGCATAAATAATGAGTGTAAATCACTCATCAAACACCCCCAAACTTAATCTTTTGCTTGTCCTTGAGCAAACACCAAAACCCATAAAAATAATTAATGGACACACAAGCACAACCAAGACAAACAAAATCACTTAAAATAAATTTCGCTAGATAGCTTGCCTTCATGTCTTAGAATTAAAAACATAACTTCAATTCCATGAACCACTTCAAAGTTGTAATGCAAAAGTTAAATTCTCACTTATTCAATGCAAAACGGGTGTGTGTGTGGAAAGTCAAGTGCAACGCTGTACAATAATAAGTTGACCCAATTCCCAACCTTAGAAGTCAAATTTTTCCTTTCTTTACTCGTGGGATTCACACACTCCCAAACTCATTCTCTTTTCTCTTTCCAAGGGTGTAACCTAAAGTTAAATTTTCAATACTAATTTCTTACACCACTCAAGTTTGGTTAGATTTTACTGATTGTAGTTCCACATGTCAACAAATGAGGATTCTCCTTATTTTTGACTGCTTCAACCTCTAGGAATCAACCAAGTTACTTACCCATTATCAAAGGTCTAATCCTCTAAAACAAGTGTTCGGGGCTTAATCAACTTCTTCTTCTTCTTCTTTTCTTTTTTTTTTTAATTATTATTTTCATATATATCTTTATCCTTTAATCACTTTTTGTGCGGACGTCTCTCCCTTAAGCTTTCTAAATGACCCCTGTAGCGAGCTTTAGGCCGATGACTCCCAACTCAGATGACTTTAGGGCACCAGGTTTTAAACCCTTACAAGCTTAATCACTCGAGTCATAAAGGCTACGAAGAGACTATTCACAATGAGATTATTAAAGTTGTCCTCATTGGGATCTCCTTTTTTTTTTTTTTACAGTGATTAGTGTAATGCCCCTTATTAAACACCTATCTTCGAAAATCGACCTCCAACTTAAGGTTTTCACCCAATTTTCATCCCATTAGTCTCAGACAGTCCACACAAAAATTAACACACACGAAATCCACATTTATCTTCAAGTTTTCCTACAACAGTGCAATCATCCAAACATCCTAAATTTGGTTTAAGGGTATTGTGATGTTTAATGGTTGTTTGGGTTTAGCATCTAAGTTCTCTATTTCAACCTATAAGCGCGAATCAACCTCCTCATGTACAACGCTACAATCAACTCACGTGCAAAAAATAATTTCCATTTCACATGAATAAGCAAAAATCTAATTCAAACACATAACTCATCCACAATTCATAAATCAACGCATGTTCTCAATTACACATATCAATACCGGCAAGGTTATCTAACACACACAAGCATGCGAAAACATGAAATGAATTTTTTTTTTTTATAATAAAAACACAAACACATAAAATAAGCAAATCACACATAAGCATTCGAGAAACTCAATAATATGCAAATGATGTCACTCCCCCAAACTTAACTGAAACATTGTCCTCAATGTGAAATTTAAAGGAAAAGGAGGAGGACTTCCCTGAAATGTCACTATTGCCTATGATGTTGTGGTGTCTTGGTGTTGTATTTGATTGACTCTTCTTCTACATTTTCCCCCAAACTTGAGATTCGGCCCATTTTCTCCATGTCCATGTTGGTTTGAGTGTTCCGCGACGTCATGTTTCTGAAAAATTAAACTCATGGAACAAGGATTACTTAGCTCAAACATCTAATAACCAACTTAATTACTCCAAGACCTATGGGTAGAAGGTGTATGGGTGATGATTCCTAAATAAGCTATAAATTAAACTATCTTAGAACTTTGAAAACAAAATAAATAAAATAAAATAAAATAAAAGCTTGGGTTGCCTCCCAAGAAGCGCTTCTTTTAAGTTATTAGCTTGACTTGTGCCGTTGGTTTATCATGGTGGCTCAAACCAAGTTATTCCATCATTGGACTCTGTGCAATTTTCATTGATGCAATCCTTTTCTGCTCTCCAAATTTTGATTTGTCCATTCTTGTCTCTACCAAGAAGTTCTCCAAAATTTGTTGTTTTATTCTGACAGCTTTGTTGATCAGGTGGCTCTTCTTCATCAATTCTATAGCAATCATTTTTGTTGGGAGGTTTCTCATATTGGATGTAAATATTGAATATCTCCTGCTTGTCCTCCACCCTCAAGATTAGTTCTCCCTTCTCCATGTCAATAAGGGTTCGTCCCGTTGCTAAGAATGGTCGACCCAATATAATTGGAATGTCTCGATCTTCTGATATGTCCAATACAATGAAATCCACAGGAAATATTAAATTTCCTACTTTGACGAGTTCATCCTCAACTTTGCCACGTGGCCTTGTGATTGTTCTATCAGCGAGTTGTAGCGTTATTGATGTTGAGTTGACTTCACCTAGTCCCAATTTCCTGTAAGTAGAATACGACATTAGATTGATACTAGCATCAGTGTCACACAATGCATTAGTTGAATAGGAATTTCCAGTTGAAACTGGTAAAGTAAAACTCCCTGGATCGTTCAATTTAGGAGGCAATTTTCTCTGGACTCTTGCACTACTTTCCTCAGTTAATGCCACAGTTTCAAACTCCGGAAGCTTTCTTTTCTTTGTCAACATCTCTCTCAAAAATTTCTTATAGCTTGGAATTTGTAGTATCGCATCTATGAACGGAACATTGATCTGGAGCTTCTTGAGAACATCAAGAAATTTTTCATAGTTTGTGTCTTGTTTGTTCTTCTTGAGCTTTTGAGGAAAGGGAATGGGAGGCATGTAAGCTTTGTCTAGACTTGGTGCTTTGGCAACTGATGTTTCTGTACCTTCTCTATTTTCAGTTGCATTTGGTGCAAATTTTTCTACCCTTGTAGCTTCATCAATCACTTCTTGGTCATCTTTTCTTTCGGGTCTCTCTGTAGTGATCTTTGGTGATTGTACCTCGCTCTTTGTATTTATGACATGAATATTTTGCTCCATCGACTTCTTTCAAAGTCTTTGGGGAAACGGAAGTGGAGGTACATATGCTTTAACTTTTATGGAGGCCCTGGGTCGATCGTTCTCCACTATTTCAATTGTCATCAACTGTTCCTTAGGATTTATCATTGTATTGCTTGGCAATGTGCCTTGTGGACGTTCTGCAAGTTGTTGTGCTATCTGACCAATTTGTATCTCCAGTTTCTTGATGGATGCCTGTTGATTTTGAAAGTTCGTGTCTATTTGTTGGAACACCTTGTCTGTCTTCTGCACATATTGTTGAAACATCTTCCCCAAACTTGGTCTTCTCTCTTGCTGGAAATTGTTACCATATGAGTTGAAATTACGGGAGCTATTTTGAATAAAGTTTACTTGTTCCTCTGAAGACGTGAGCATCATGCATCTCTCTATAGGGTGACTTCTCCCACAATTCTCACATACTGAACTGGCCATCATTGCATTTGCTCCATGTGTTTGCAATTTTACAAGTAACTCTACTTGTTTTGTTAAAGCTGCTATCTGTGCACTGGTAGATGTTGTGCTGTCTAGTTCATACATTCCTCCTATCTTCGGTGGCGCCACTCTTTCCGACGAGAACATTGAATGTGTAGTGGCAATCAACTCAAACAGTTCCATGGTTTGCTGCACAGATTTTCCTATAATTGATCCTCCAGCTGAGGCATCGACTTGGGATTTTGACAGTGGTGTGAGTCCAGTGTAGAAGTACTGCACTTGATTTCCTTGAGTGATTCCATGGTTTGGACATTTTCTCATCAGTTCATTAAATCTATTCCATGCCTCGTGATAGCTTTCTCCATCTTTCTGTTGAAAAGTTTGAATTTTCAATCTGATTTTAGCTACTCTGGCTGGTGGAAAGAATTTGTTGCAGAATTTCCTGATCAGTTCTTCCCAAGTAGTAATACTAGCATGAGGCTCCGCATCTAACCACTCCAATGCAGCATCTCTCAATGTAAATGGAAATAGTCGTAATTTAATTGCATCTTCATTGACCCCCGGAGCATGGAAGTTCTGACAATTTCTGAGAAATCTGGAGATATGCGTGTTTGGATTCTCTTGAGGTAGCCCGTAGAATTGCAGGGTGTTGCTCATCAAGTTAATCCAATCTGGCCTGATCTGAAAGTTATTCACCCCAAAATCTGGATACACGATACTGGAGCGCATGGGTGCTGCTATAGGTGTCAGGAACATTGATACTGGCAAATCCCCTTCATTTATTTCCCTTCGTTCATGTTGTTGTTCTGGTGGTGCCACCACTCTTGCGGCCATTTGCCCAATCGGCTGAATAGGGATATGGATTTGTTGATTGTCAGCCATTTGATGTTGCTGTTTTTCTTTGTGTTCCTTGCGTCTTCGTCTGAAGGTACGTTCTATCTCCGAATCAAACGGTTCAAGATCGTCGCCTTGGGCACGGAGCATACAACGAACACAATTTTCTGTAAATAAAAGAAAAATAAACTAATCAAATAACAGCCAAAAGAAAAAAATAAATTAAGACTAAAAGAAATAGTCCCCGGCAACGACGCCAAAAACTTGTTGTAAAATTTTGTTTTGCAAGTGTACAATCCGTAACAAGTAATAGTGGACCTAAGAGTCCGGTTATCGATCCCACGAAGACTATTTTGTAGCACTTAATTTAATCTTTCTTTAACTACTATTTGACGAATGTAAATAAAAAACAATGATTAAATGTGATTTTTACTCTAAAGACTTAAAAATGTGATTAAATTCAATGAAAAGTGATTTAGAATTCAAACAATAAATGGACGTTAGGGCGGAACAATTTCACCTATTGGTCTCCTTTACTTCATAAATCAAGATTCATAAAATCTAAGGTAGTGTTCGGTCGAATTCTTCTATTGTATTCAACTTACTCCTCTCGAGTTCTCATTGAGCCTACTTAATTAGTTTAATTCCATATCTCTATGCGAATTAAATTTAATTAAACGAAACATTAGTTCTAAGAACTCACACCCGACCGCAGCAATCAATATAGGTATCTCTACACATTATATCAATTTACCGGATTTTAACATGTGGTCTAAACAAATAATCCGCATCTCTACGCAATCATTGTTCACAAATCATCTAATTAGTGATCAAGTAATTAAATGTATTAAGAACAATATTAAAATCAACACATGAAATAAAGAAGTACTAGAATCTCAATTGCATGAAACAAAGGGTTCCAAAAGATTACATTGTTCGCCCTAACATGAAATCTAACTACTCATAATAATGGAAGAAAAACTTGGTGATGTATTCTAAGACAATCTCCTATTTTTCTTCCATTATTATGAGTAGTTAGATTTCATGTTAGGGCGAACAATGTAATCTTTTGGAACCCTTTATTTCATGCAATTGAGATTCTAGTACTTCTTTATTTCATGTGTTGATTTTAATATTGTTCTTAATACATTTAATTACTTGATCACTAATTAGATGATTTGTGAACAATGATTGGGTAGAGATGCGGATTATTTGTTTAGACCACATGTTAAAATCCGGTAAATTGATATAATGTGTAGAGATACCTATATTGATTGCTGCGGTCGGGTGTGAATTCTTAGAACTAATGTTTTGTTTAATTAAATTTAATTCGCATAGAGATATGGAATTAAACTAATTAAGTAGGCTCAATGAGAACTCGAGAGGGGTAAGTTGAATACAATAGAAGAATTCGACCGAACACTACCTTAGATTTTATGAATCTTGATTTATGAAGTAAAGGAGACCAATAGGTGAAATTGTTCTGCCCTAACGTCCATTTATTGTTTGAATTCTAAATCACTTGTCATTGAATCCAATCACATTTTTAAGTCTTTAGAGTAAAAATCACATTTAATCATTGTTTTTGATTTACATTCGTCAAATAGTAGTTAAAGAAAGATTAAATTAAGTGCTACAAAATAGTCTTCGTGGGATCGATAACCGGACTCTTAGGTCCACTATTACTTGTTACGGATCGTACACTTGCGAAACAAAATTTTACAACAAGTTTTTGGCGTCGTTGCCGGGGACTATTTCTTTTAGTCTTAATTTATTTTTTTCTTTTGGCTGTTATTTGATTAGTTTATTTTTCTTTTATTTACCGAAAAGTGTGTTCGTTGTATGCTCCGTGCCCAAGGCGACGATCTTGAACCGTTTGATTCGGATATAGAACGTACCTTTAGACGAAGACGCAAGGAACGCAAAGAAAAACAGCAACATCAAATGGCTGACAATCAACAAATTCATATCCCTATTCAGCCGATTGGGCAAATGGCCGCAAGAGTGGTGGCACCACCAGAACAACAACATGAACGAAGGGAAATAAATGAAGGGGATTTGCCAGTATCAATGTTCCTGACACCTATAGCAGCACTCATGCGCTCCAGTATCGTGTATCCAGATTTTGGGGTGAATAACTTTCAGATCAGGCCAGATTGGATTAACTTGATGAGCAACACCCTGCAATTCTACGGGCTACCTCAAGAGAATCCAAACACTCATATCTCCAGATTTCTCAGAAATTGTCAGAACTTCCATGCTCTGGGGGTCAATGAAGATGCAATTAAATTACGACTATTTCCATTTACATTGAGAGATGCTGCATTGGAGTGGTTAGATGCGGAGCCAGTATTACTACTTGGGAAGAACTGATCAGGAAATTCTGCAACAAATTCTTTCCACCAGCCAGAGTAGCTAAAATCAGATTGGAAATTCAAACTTTTCAACAGAAAGATGGAGAAAGCTATCACGAGACATGGAATAGATTTAATGAGCTGATGAGAAAATGTCCAAACCATGGAATCACTCAAGGAAATCAAGTGCAGTACTTCTACACTGGACTCACACCACTGTCAAAATCCCAAGTCGATGCCTCAGCTGGAGGATCAATTCTAGGGAAATCTGTGCAGCAAACCATGGAACTGTTTGAGTTGATTGCCACTACACATTCAATGTTCTCGTCGGAAAGAATGGGGCCACTGAAGACAGGAGGAATGTATGAATTAGACAGGACAACATCTACCAATGCACAGATAGCAGCTTTAACAAAACAGGTAGAGTTACTTGTAAAATTGCAAACACATGGAGCAAATACAATGATGGCCAGTTCAGTATGTGAGAATTGTGGGAGAAGTCACCCTATAGAGAGATGCATGATGCTCACGTCGTCAGAAGAACAAGTAAACTTTATTCAAAATAGCTCCCGTAATTTCAACTCATATGGTAACAATTTCTAGCAAGAGAGAAGACCAAGTTTGGGGGAGATATTTCAACAATATGTGCAGAAGACAGACAAGGTGTTCCAACAAATAGACACGAACTTTCAAAATCAACAGGCATCCATTAAGAAACTGGAGATACAAATTGGTCAGATAGCACAACAACTTGTAGAACGTCCACAAGGCACATTGCCAAGCAATACAATGATAAATCCTAAGGAACAGTTGATGGCAATTGAAATAGTGGAGAACGATCCACCCAGGGCCTCCGTAAAAGTTAAAGCATATGTACCTCCACTTCCGTTTCCCCAAAGACTTCGAAAGAAGTCGATGGAGAAAAATATTCATGTCATAAATACAAAGAGCGAGGTACAATCACCAGAGACCACTACAGAGAGACCCGAAAGAAAAGATGACCAAGAAGTGATTGATGAAGCTACAAGGGTAGAAAAATCTGCACCAAATGCAACTGAAAATAGAGAAGGTACAGAAACATCAGTTGCCAAAGCACCAAGTCTAGACAAAGCTTACATGCCTCCCATTCCCTTTCCTCAAAAGCTCAAGAAGAACAAACAAGACACAAACTATGAAAAATTTCTCGATGTTCTCAAGAAGCTCCAGATCAATGTTCCGTTCATAGATGCGATACTACAAATTCCAAGCTATAAGAAATTTTTGAGAGAGATGTTGACAAAGAAAAGAAAGCTTCCGGAGTTTGAAACTGTGGCATTAACTGAGGAAAGTAGTGTAAGAGTCCAGAGAAAATTGCCTCCTAAATTGAAGGATCAATGGAGTTTTACTTTACCAGTTTTAATTGGAAATTCCTATTCAACTAATGCATTGTATGACACTGGTGCTAGTATCAATCTAATGTCGTATTCTACTTACAGGAAATTGGGACTAGGTGAAGTCAACTCAACATCAATAACGCTACAACTCGCTGATAGAACAATCACAAGGCCACGTGGCAAAGTTGAGGATGTACTCGTCAAAGTAGGAAATTTAATATTTCCTGTGGATTTCATTGTATTGGACATACCAGAAGATCGAGACATTCTAATTATGTTGGGTCGACCATTCTTAACAACGGGACGAACCCTTATTGACATGGAGAAGGGAGAACTAATCTTGAGGGTGGAGGACAAGCAGGAGATATTTAATATTTACATCCAATATGAGAAACCTCCCAATAAAAATGATTGCTATAGAATTGATGAAGAAGAGCCACCTGATCAACGAAGCTGTCAGAATAAAACAACAAATTTTGAAGAACTTTTTGGTAGAGATAAGAATGGACAAATCAAAATTTGGAGAGCAAAAAAGGACTGCATCAATGAAAATTGCACAGAGTGCAATGATGGAATAACTTGGTTTGAGTCACCATGATAAACCAGTGGCACAAGTCAAGCTAATGACTTAAAAGAAGCGCTTCTTGGGAGGCAATCCAAGCTTTTATTTTATTTATTTTGTTTTCAAAGTTCTAAGATAGTTTAATTTATAATTTATTTAGGAATCATCACTCATACACCTTCTACCCATAGGTCTTGGAGTAATTAAGTTGGTTATTAGATGTTTGAGCTAAATAATCCTTATTCCATGAGTTTAATTTTTCAAATTTAATTTTTCAGAAACATGACGTCGCGGAACACTCAAACCAACATGGACATGGAGAAAATGGGCCAAATCTCAAGTTTGGGGGAAAATGTAGAAGAAGAGTCAATCAAATACAACACCAAGACACCACACATCATAGGCAATACTGACATTTCAGGGAAGTCCTTCTCCTTTTCCTTTAAATTTCACATTGAGGACAATGTTTCAGTTAAGTTTGGGGGAGTGACGTCATTTGCATATTGTTGAGTTTCTCGAATGCTTATGTGTGATTTGCTTATTTTATGTGTTTGTGTTTTTATTATAAAAAAAAAATTCATTTCGTGTTTTTGCATGCTTGTGTGTGTTAGATAACCTTGTCGGTATTGATATGTGCAATTGAAAACATGCGTTGATTTATGAATTGTGGACGAGTTATGTGTTTGAGTTAGATTTTTGCTTATTCATGTGAAATGGAAATTATTTTTTGCACGTGAGTTGATTGTAGTGTTGTACATGAGGAGGTTGATTCGCGCTTATAGGTTGAAATAGAGAACTTAGATGCTAAACCCAAACAACCATTAAACATCACAATACCTTTAAACCAAATTTGGGATGTTTAGATGATTGCACTGTTGTAGGAAAACTTGAAGATAAATGTGGATTTCGCGTGTGTTAATTTTTGTGTGGACTGTCTGAGACTAATGGGATGAAAATTGGGTGAAAACCTTAAGTTAGAGGTCGATTTTCGAGGATAGGTGTTTAATAAGGGGCATTGCACTAATCACCGCATAAAAAAAAAAATCCCAATGAGGACAACTTTAATAATCTCATTGTAAATCGTCTCTTCGTTTAAGCCCCGAACACTTGTTTATGAGTATTAGACCTTTGATAAGGGGTAAGTAACTTGATTGATTCCTAGAGGTTGAAGCAGTCAAAAATAAGGAGAATCCTCATTTGTTGACATGTGAAACTACAATCAGTAAAATCTAACCAAACTTGAGTGGTGTAAGAAATTAGTATTGAAGATTTAACTTGAGGTTACACCCTTGGAAAGAGAAAAGAAAATAAGTTTGGAGTGTGTGAATCCCACGAGCGAAGTAAGAAAAAAATTTGACTTCTATGGTCGGGAATTGGGTCAACTTATTATTGTACAACGTTGCACTTGACTCTCCACACACACACACCCGTTGTGCATTGAATAGGCGAGAATTTAACTTTTGCAATATAGCTTTGAAGTGGTTCATGGAATCGAAGTTATGTTTTTAATTCTCAGGCATGAAGGCAAGCTATCTAGCGAAATTTATTTTAAGTGATTTTGTTTGTCTTGGTTGTACTTGTGTGTCCATTAATTATTTTTATGGGTTTTGGTGTTTGCTCGAGGACAAGCAAAAGATTAAATTTGAGGGTGTTTGATGAGTGATTTATACTCATTATATTATGCCATTAATTTCATGATTTTGCTATCTTGGAGAGTATTTTAGAAGTGCTAACAAGTAATTTTGGTGTTGTTTTGTAGATTGATGGAAATGGAGAAAACTAGAGCTAAAAGAGGTCAAATGAAGGAAATAGGCAAAAGCTAGCGAAATTGGATGAAATGACCAAAACGTAAGAGATCCAAAGTTCGAGGATTAAAATGCAATTAATCTAAAGTCATGTCGAAACTTGAAATGAAGATCCGAGAGTTCTAGGAGCCAATTGGACAAAGGAAGGTGTCAAAGGGATCAAATTTAGTCAAGATATGATCATAAATCATTTTCCAACCAAAAAGTTTTGCGCCGGAGTTTTCATCTCATATTTAGACTCATTTTTGACATAGAAAACGATCGAATTGGAGAATTATTCTTGAAGCAAAATTGTAGTCCTTTGAATTATCTTTCCAACGCATCTTGAATCACTTCAATCGGATATCGAATGAAAAAGTTATGATAAAAATACTGAAAGCTGTCCAGTGCAACCGAAGTAGTCCTCAGCGCCCAGGCGCTAGCCCAGGCGCTATCCCTTATCGCCTAGGCGCCATGTTGCTGAAATTTTGACAGAAAGTCAGCGCCTAGGCGCCCAAATCACAGTGCCTAGGTGCCGCCGTGCGAGAGTAATTTTTTTAGGTTTTTACCATTCTTTTTCGGCCCAACTCATCTCCAAATCTTTCCCTAAACTCCAAGACAATATAAACATAAGATTAAAGACCTAAATGAGGGAGGAGCCGCACACTAAAAATCTAGGGGGACATATTGGAGAGAAAAACAACAAGAAGGGAGATTGAAGGGAGAAATTTAAGAAGATTAACACCAAGAATTGAAGATTGGAAGCACTCATTGGAAGAGGAAGGAGATCTTGGTGCAAGAATTCCACTTTTTCTTCCACATCTTTATTTCAAACTTGGTGATGTATTCTAAGACAATCTCCTATTTTTCTTCCATTATTATGAGTAGTTAGATTTCATGTTAGGGCGAACAATGTAATCTTTTGGAACCCTTTATTTCATGCAATTGAGATTCTAGTACTTCTTTATTTCATGTGTTGATTTTAATATTGTTCTTAATACATTTAATTACTTGATCACTAATTAGATGATTTGTGAATAATGATTGCGTAGAGATGCGGATTATTTGTTTAGACCACATGTTAAAATCCGGTAAATTGATATAATGTGTAGAGATACCTATATTGATTGCTGCGGTCGGGTGTGAATTCTTAGAGCTAATGTTTCGTTTAATTAAATTTAATTCGCATAGAGATATGGAATTAAACTAATTAAGTAGGCTTAATGAGAACTCGAGAGGGGTAAGTTGAATACAATAGAAGAATTCGACCGAACACTACCTTAGGTTTTATGAATCTTGATTTATGAAGTAAAGGAGACCAATAGGTGAAATTGTTCCGCCCTAACGTCCATTTATTGTTTGAATTCTAAATTACTTTTCATTGAATCCAATCACATTTTTAAGTCTTTAGAGTAAAAATCACATTTAATCATTGTTTTTGATTTACATTCGTCAAATAGTAGTTAAAGAAAGATTAAATTAAGTGCTACAAAATAGTCTTCGTGGGATCGATAACCGGTCTCTTAGGTCCACTATTACTTGTTACGGATCGTACACTTGCGAAACAAAATTTTACAACAAGTTTTATTTGAAAAGACGAGTGGTGAATGAGTAATTATATGAAAAGATGAGTGAGTATTCAGTAACTCGTGAAAGATGAGTGAGCAAGTAGTAACAAAGTCTAAAGTTCAGTGAGCATTGGTTAAATTTACTCTTCATCTTTCCCAATATGCCCCGCCATAATCCCTTACATCGAGCCATCCGCTACTCACATTTCCGACACATATCATATATTGACCACTACCGATGCTGCCTCTCTCCTCTCCGTCAGACCCTCTCCTTCTGGATAAAGCTATAGCCATCCTCAAGTGCCATTGCCTATCCTCTCTTGACTCTATAGTTCCCTATTTTACCCCTCAATCCGCCAGATATTTACTCCTCCAATGTCAAAATAATCAAAAGCTAATCCTAAAATTTCTCGACTCGGCTCGCAATTTCCCATTTTTTGACAACCTACAATGCAAGTACATTGCTATTCACATCCTCACACGCTTCAAGCTCTACAGGACTGCCCAGTCACTAACCGAGGGCGTCGCTGTATATTTCTCGGATGATGAAAATGGAATTTCGCTTTTTGAATGCCTCAGGAAGTCGTACCACTTGGGCAATTTGAGCTCAAAGCTTGCTCTAGATCCAGGCCTGGGGATAGGCCTAAAAACAGGGGGCTAAGGTGGCACCCCTTTTTAGGGCTTTTTTTGGCCTCGATGAAGAGCATTTTTGTTTGAGCTCATCGGTATTTGATTTAATGGTAAATTTTTTACTCTAATTTGAAAATGATAGATACGGCTTTGAATATGATAAATTAGCTAAACCTCTTGGGTTTATGCCTAATTTATTGTCGTATAATTTTGTTCTTAATGCAATAATTAGGGTTGCGGCCAATGGGTATGTTGAGCTAGCTCAAAAATTGTATCACGACATGATAAAATATGGGGTTTTGCCTAATGTGTTTACCTATAATATATTAATTAGGGGGTTTTATGGAAATAAGAAATAGAACCAAGGTTTAGAAAATTTCAAGGAAATGGAGAAAAACGCCTGTGTGACAAATCTTGTTACTTATAAATTTTAATCAACTCTTATTGTAAATTGGGGAATATTGAAGAGTTTTTTTTTTAGCGTGATGAAATTGATGTGGGAGAAGAATTTGGAGCCAAATGTAATTACATGTAATTTTATAATTGGTTGTGTTGAGATGGGAGGATGAAGGAGACGGTTGAGCTTTTTGAGGAAATGAAGAGGAAGGGTTTGTTGCCAGACAAGATTACGTTTAATACACATGTAAATGGGTTTTGTAAAGAGGGGAATTTTCACCAGGCACTTGTTGTTCATGACAAGATGGTTAGGAATGGGCGGTCTACCAAAGTTGTGACCTATATGGCTTTGATTAGTCTCATGTGTAAACCGAGAAATTTGCGTCGTGTAATGGAGTTCTTTGAATAGATGCACTCTAGGGGACTAAGTCCTAATGAGATAACATATACAACTTTGATTGATGGGTTCTGCCTGCAGGGGTTCATGGATGAAGCTTATAGAGTTTTGAATGAAATGATTGGCAGGGGATTTTCACTATGTGGTGTAACGTACAATGCGTTGATCAATGCGCATTGTGCGCTGGGTGGGATGGAAGATGCTTTACGAATTATTCAAGATATGATTGGGAAAGGAGTACAGTCAGATGTTGTTACTTACAATACTATCATGTTTGGTTACTGTAGGGATTTTGATTTAGATAAGGCTTTCAGAGTGAAAGAGGAGATGATTGAGAAAGGAATCTTACTAGACGCCGTTACTTTTTCATCACTAATTCAAGGTCTTTGTGGGCAGAGGAGACTGACTAAAGCTTGTAAACTTTTTGAAGAAATGTGGAGAAAAGGTTTGCAACCTGACAAGTATACATATACTACTATAATTAATGCTTATTGTGTTGAAGACGATCTTATAGGGCTATTCGTCTGCATGATGCAATGATCAAAAGGGATTTCTTTCCTAACGTTGTTACCTACAGTGTGCTAATAAATGGGCTTCACAAACAAGCTCGCAGCAAGGAAGCAAAAAGGCTACTCTTCAAGTTGTTCTACGAACAATCTGTTCCCCTTGACTTGACGTATGATTTTCTGATGGGAAGTTGTAGTAGTATTAATTTCAAAGTGTGATAGCTCTAATAAAGAGATTCTGCATGAAAGGTTTGATGAATGAGGCAGACCGAGTTTTCAAGATGATGCTTCAGAGGAACCACAAGTCTAATGAAGCAATTTATTATATTCTCATACATGGTCATTGTACACATGGGCGAACCCAAGGGGGGTCCTGCAGGGTCATGTGAACCCTCAACTTTTGAGATTTGAATTTATTTATTTATTATTATTATTATTGGTTATACGTTCTGTTTGATATCAATTGAAATCTAAATTTTAATATAAATCAAAGTTAACAATTAATTTTAATAATATATTTCATGGAATCTTTAATTTTTTAACTTTTATCAAAATATACTAAAAATCTAATTTTAATCTCCACCAAACAGGGACAAAATCACAATAAATTTGAATTTTTTTCTCTTTTCTCTTAGTCTATCTTACGTTCACCCTCAAACCTTTTATCAAAATTTTAACCCTTCTAATTTTTTAAAATTTATCTATAATTTATCTATAAATTATCATATCTACCACAAATTTTCATTTTCCAATCAAATTTTCAAATAATTAGAACTTAAATTTGCATTTTATTTTATCCTATTTGTGTATATAGAATGTGACTGAATTGATTATATTCAATTTAACTTATATTTAAAGAATTTTTTTTATTTGATTGAGTTATATATTTTTTCTTTTGATCACTTGAATTGATTATTTGTATTAAATACACTATAAATTTTTTTAAATATAAATATGTATTTTTTATGATGAGTAAAATATTAATAAAATGATCAAACAGATGAAAAGATGAGCAAAATATTAATGAAGAAATTTTTTTAAATGTAAATATGTATTTTCTCGATCAATTATAAATCATTCAAAAATGAAGAACAAAGTATTGTATTTGTAAATATTTTGATTATACCCTCCTAACTAAGAATCTCTGCGTTCGCCTCTGATTGTAGAGGTGGGAATAGTGATGGCAACGGGGCGGGGCAATTTTCTTGCCCCGTTTAATTTTTTTTTTAATTTCGAGTTTAATAAAATACGGATAACATTCAAATTGAACTTTTAATAAAGAATGTCCTTACTTTATGTAAATTTAAGTTTTTGTTTTGGGATAAAATTATTTATAGTGTAAAATGATTTTTAGAGAATGTGTGAATAAAAAGTATGAAAAAATTATAGGTTTACATGTAAATTATGTTATTAAAAAAATTATGATAGAAAATAAGTTTAAATAATTCACGGGGCGGGGGCGGGTTTTTTTTGCCCCATTCGGGGCGGGGCGGGGCGGCACCGGGTCGGGACGGGATAAATTGCCATCGCTAGATGGGAATTTGAACAAAGCCATTGATCTGTACAGGGAAATGATGCATCACGGGCTTACTCCTCATGCTGTAACTGTCATCGCTCTAATTAAAGAAGTACAAGCGGGGATGAGCAAGGAACTGAGTCAAATTATAAATAATACATTAAAAAGTTGTTAGGTCACTGAAGGTGAACTTGCCAAAGTGCTTGGTGAAGTTAATTACAAAGAAGGTAACATGGATGCAGTATTAAAATTCTCACTGAAATGGCAAAAGATGGCCTCCTTCCAAACGATGTGAGAACTGCTTAGGCTGGTGAATGAATTGCACGACAAATGCTGTTGGAAATTTTATTTGGAAGTTTCGGGTTTCGAAGCTGTGTTCTAATGTAGAAATGAATAGCATATCGCACCATGCAAATGAATCGGATTGATATGGAAAAACCAGCATACCTTTCAAGTGGGCCTCCAGTTTGGCGTACTTTTACCACTTTGTATCGCAATAGGAGACAGTCACATTGAAGGCAAGGAAGGCTGCTCAGAAGAAAGTAGAAGAGACGGAGAAGCCATTGTAATGGCATGTATCTCTGTTGTATTAACCATTGGAAGAGAAACCTTAGCCCGAGTTGTAGTTCTAGTTTCGTCTTGACCAGTCTCTGGCCATATCACAGTTACTTCAGTCCTCCCCTTTCTTGAGCACGCACATGCCAGATTTATCTTCTTGGAGCATATGAATATGATATCAGAGTCCCTTCCTTCTGCTCTCCCGTCTTGAGTTTTTCTTTCCCTTTTGTCATGCCATTCATTATCGCAAGTTCTCAAATTTACAATTTGGAAGTGCAAATTATGTTTCTCATGTGTGCATATTCACTTGTCAACTCTTTTTGCCGAAAGTGGTTATTATACATATTGCATTCTTTGAATCGTGTTACATAAGAATAATAGGATCAACTGTACCATGTAGTCGAAAGTTACGGCGAAGTATAACTGGTACCTCTTGCAGGGTTAACTGTCACATTTAAAAAAATAATAATAATTTTAGTCATACAATTATATCATGTGTATTTTTAGTCAGGAGTCAATATTTGTTTATAGTAAGAATAATAAATACATGACTGGTGGGTTTTCAACAGTGATGATGACTATAGTGGACCTGGGTATGGCCGTATAGGTCTCTATTTCAAAGAAATCGGCGCGGCTGACAGCCCATGTTGGACCTGGTCATTACTGGTATTAATATTCTGTCTGAATTCCTTGGCACGTGTTACATGTCTGATTTTCTTAGGTTTGTTGCAATCTGGGATTCCATTTCATACTACATGAAGTCCGCAGAATTAATAACTGTAAACCTTCTCCAATCAGACATATCATTGAAGATTTAAGTAAAACAAACAAATATCTTACTTTTAACTTCGATCAATTAAACGTCTCAAATTTAACCCTTGTTTTAAACAGTATTATTATTATTTATTTATTTTTATTTTTTTGGAAAAAAAATGAGTTTGAAATAGTGATTTTTTTGGAGAATGTGTAGTTAAAAAATAAAAAAAATTCGAATTATATGTAAAATTATTTTATTGTAGAATGTATGATTAAAAATAAGTTCGAAAGAAAAAAAAGAGTTTTTTAGAAATGGTTGTCAAACGGAGGTTTAGTTTGAGTAAGCACCTCCTAATTATAAAAATTTACTGGTTGGATGAAAAAAAAAAATTAATCCTATACGCATTAGAAACTTGTAGAGAAAATGAGTATGAATCGTTAGTTTTTCTTATTTTCTTTGATAATTTAAAATTTAGAGCATCAGTCTGAATAGTCTTATTTGGTAGTTTAGATTGATTAAAAATTTACTGAGATTGAGATGTAGTTTTTCTTTTTAGGGTGATATATATGATTCTGGGTAAAATAATGATCTGATCTGCTGCTAATATCATAAATAGTATTAACTTTTTCACCTGTGAATAAATGATTACACGCACCAGCAATTCACCCTAAATCATGGAACATGATTTTTGACTTTTCATAAAGGTAATTAATTGCACACAAGCTATCAATTTATGACCCTACATAATGTGCATTTTATGGTTGGTAAGTTTACCATACTAGTCCTGTTTAAATTACCATGTTATGCATAACACGTATTTGATACATGTACGTGAGTCGATGCAGTGTTTGATGCACACGCACAGGTCGGATTCAAACAGGATCCTTGTACCGTTGAACTCGGAAACCTCAGCTCTATCTAATGTTTTATAATGCAAAAAACTGAATTATATTGTTTCAAAAACAAACTAATCTCGTAGTATAACCTGGAGGGATGGAGACGAAAACTCCACATATTCTAGAAATTTCACAAAATATAGATGAGAAAATCTGAATTCACCCGCGAGATAGAGAAACAGTAGGACCAAGACCTTAAGAGAGATTCATATTTTGAACAGTAGTGGGATTGAAGCCTAAGCAGCCTAATAATCCTTGCCTGTATGGCAAGAAAGTCCTCTTCTTCATCTCCTCTGAAACTGCCCTTTTCACAGTATAATGCAATTCATGAGCTGAAATTTGTGGGCCTCTTCTCCTACTCGACACCGATCCTGCACTGTCTGTAGACCTGAAACTTGAATTCTTTGCGTCATCCAGATGGTTTTTCTTCAGCAACACGTATTTGTTAAACTCATTTTTATCCGTTGCTCGACTTTCTGATGCACTTCTGAACAGTAATAAGTCCTTAATTTTCCATTTTTTGTACCATAACGAAGAGAAAGATGAAGATGAAAACAAGGACGACTTAGAAGAATCCTTGGCGACTTGTTGATTGGTATCTGGATCAAATAACAAATCTGAAACACGAAAAGGGGATAAAGATCTTGTTTGTTTGTGTCTAGAGCTTGAATTACTTCTTTCTCTTCCTCGCGAGGTTTGTTGAATGTTTTCTTTACGAGTCTGTTCAATGGCTGCTGCAAATGGATCGAAATCTTTCTTCCTATGGCGTGGGGAGAATGCATCTTTGATCATTTTCTTGGGAGATCGAGGCGATTTTGGAGAATCGAGGGGCTTAGATTGTAAGCGAGGGGGAGGCTTTAATGGCTTGATCTTGCCTCCATCGAAAAGTTCATCGGCAGGTAAAGAAATTCTCTCTAGTTGCCCACTAAAATCAAAAGAAAAATCTGTATCCCTCTGATCAGCATCACCTTCACCTTCACCAGCACAATAAGTACTGTTTATTTCTTTTGTTTTGGAAATTCCAGGCTTCTCTTCCCAGTTAAATGGAACTGCCGACTGGGAGGACTGGTTGAATTCGTTGTAGAAGGCGGCTGCACGGTCGGGGCTGGAGGGGACGCTGTAGAAGAAAGTGCCGAATCGTTGAGGGCTCGAAGCGGCGCTTATGTGTGGTGATGTACATGCACTATCGAAGTTGAATTCCGCCGGGGGCGACGGCATCATCACCTCCATCTCCATTCTATTGTGTTTGAGAGAGTTGGAAAAAGATATGTAATTGAGGATGGTATATAAATGCAGACAGAAAGTAGAAACTGCACACAGGAAAGGGGTAGGAAAAGTGGGGTGAGCCGCCTTTGTACATGAGGCTTTGATTATTTTCTTTATTGACTATTGTGGAATTAATTATTCCAATGGTCAGCGAACTTAGGTCCATATCATTAATTGATCATTAAAAATTAAAATGTCGAGTTTTGATCATTGAAATTAGGTCTATATCTTCAATTGCTCAATGAAATTTAAAATATCGAATTTTGGTCACTGAACTTTAGAAAATGTTGTACGTTACTCACTTGTATAAATGTAGAACTTTGAAAAAATATTGAATTAACAATAAGTAATGTACAATATTTTTTAAAGTTTAATGACCAAAACTCTATATTTTAAGTTTCAGTGATCAATTAAAGGCATGCACCTAAGTTCAGTGACTATTGAAACAATTAACTCACTGTTGTGTGCTATTTCATTTTCTTGATTGACACCCTTAACAACTCCAGCTGTGGTGTGTAAATGTACTGATATCTCTTTTGGGTTATATTGTTTGGATTTTCACACACAGCACATGAGATGAATAGACGTGACGAACGACGGCAACTAACTAAGCTTTATTTATCGATTAATTTTGGGCAAGTTACGTGAATCTGATATTGTCAAAGCTATATTAGAATTACGATGTCATTTCTTATTTGGACTCAAGTCGAAAAAACTATTAATCTTTATTAACTAAAGTTTGTGACAAGAAAATTTTCTCCAACAACTTTTGTAACATATTGGTGAGTTAAAAATAGGGGTGTATTAGTCCTTTTAACGGGTGATATAGAGGGGGGATTCAATGGAGATTTTATTTTACCGTTGGTTTTAAATTTACATTTGAATTTTTGAATTTTAAATCAATGAAAATTAATTATGGCGATATTGAATAATTATTTCTTGTTAATAAGCTTTAAAAGTGATTTTCATTCTTTCAAACTTATTTTCATTTACACATTTTTTTTAATAATTTTTTTTTTTTTAACATATGAATAAAAACTACTTTCCAATTTTTAACCATGTGTGAAATGTGATATCGAACGCATTAGAAGTTGGAAGATTAGAACAAAATAAAATATTTTTGCTGCAAATCTCAATTAATCTGAAAAATGAAGAATAGAATCAGTATTTTGATGACTAAATCTCCACTTCCAGAAGTAAAATCTCTTTGACATTCCCACTTGATGCTTGCATCTTTGTTTTATTTTGAACATTTCCAGTTTTTCCCAGACAAAAATATTGATTTTTAACATTAATAATTACAACTTTCAAATTTTCAATCAATAAAATTGCATCAATATTTCTTATTGATATTTTTAAATGTGAAATTCGACAAGTGGAGTGACGATATATTCTTATCCACAACAATGTGCATATATAAATTTAAGTGCTAGAACTGTCAAACATTGACTGCGCCTTCAAGTTTATATACACGTGCTTTATGATTAAAAATTATGCAACGATTTGTTTATAATTTGATATTAACAATAGGGGAATAAAGAATTAATTGGGAAGGAAATAACCTACTCCTTATAATATTAGAGATTTTGCATATTTCAATCCACTAAATCTGACCTAAATGAATAGAGAGATTAAATATATGAATACTGTGTGATAGCTCTAAAATTATTCGTACCAAACATATAATCAGGGTATGTTAATTGTGTTGTATTAGACAATATTCAATGCGATTAAAGAAGAGAAACTATCAATTGTCTATCCAATTATGTTAGGCCCAACATATCAAATGTGTCACCATAAAAAGTACCTAAAATCTCTTGTTGGGATTATTAAGGATCATCCAATAGATGTAGCTAACGAAGTGCGACAAAGGATTTATATAGGTAATCATAAATTTATTTAGAATAAGCTTATTTTGTTGTTTTATCTCAACTAATCTAGAAAATGAATAATATAATTGAATTTTGATGACTAAATATCTGCTTAAAGAAATGAGTTGAATTTTGGGTACGTTCGGTACAATGTATTAGATTAGGCAAGTAAGGGTTGGGGAAGATAGGAATAAAGAGTATATGATTATGATGTATTATTCTAATATGGTATCAAATACCATAAGTCATTTTTTTCACTTATGATTCCTTTGCCAAAATGACTAAGGTTTGTACCATTTTGGCTGTTCCACTTATTCACCACATGTTTTACATTAGATGGGCATCAAAGGGTAGACTATTAGAACGCAAAGATCCATTGGATAATGAAATAGTGGTTCTACATTATCTATGTTCTTGACGGATTTGATCTTGATTATGATGTAGTTCTTAAAACAGTAAATACCATGTCTTATAAGTATTTTTTTTGCTACAAGATTTTATTTTTTTCACATATCATCATAGAAAGTCTCTCGACTAATTAAAACAATTATGATTATCGGTACATAAAATATATCTCGTCATGCATCACATATATATCCTCAAATCTTTGCATCCAAGATAAAGCTGTTATTCAAACTTTCAGTGTTAACAGAAAGTTTAAATGCCATCAATTTATTGCAATCTGATATTAGTCTTTACTAAGACTATGGACACTGGTTATCTTACAATTGTGAAAAAAACAGTTCCAACATTTTATTCGCATTTATCTTGATTCCCTGTTTAGCTCTGCGCCGGAGGAAGCTTTCCCTCAATGAAGGATGAGAAGAAGATGAGTGCGCGCTCAGGCTGGTAACTTGGAACAAAGTGCCCTGATCCTCTTATGGTCACAAATGTCACATTCTGGTAGCCAACTACATAACCTCCAACCTTGAAAGTGATAGAGGAATGATTTTACGATGCTGACAAAAATTAAACAGCGTTAAAGGAAAAAAAAAAAAAAAAAGGTTGTTTTGTAATTACCTCGCCTTGGGAGTCCCAGGGATACCATGGAGTCTTTATAGGCGACCCAAGTTTGGGCATCGAATACCTTGTTGCTGTAACTGGTATTACCCCATCTGTATCTCCACTGCAGGTGCATTGAAAATTGACTCTTAGAAAGTGTCGACAAAATCGCGTATCTTGTCGTTCTTTGTGTGAATAAAAACAGGTAAATAAGCATATACTGATAGAAAATAGTGAGCCTTATCAAGCAAATATACCAACCACTACGGAACGAACTCTGAACTAATTATCCGCTATAATTATAAACTGTAATTCTGGTACATAATTTTCTTCCTCGTAAAATTTCCAAGTACAACCGTAACACACACAATGGTAACTTACCTGTAGATCCAAACTCTAATACCGCTAGCCATTAGCTTCTTTATGGTAGGTAACACCGTATATGGTGCATCCTGCCAGTGATTATTGACGAAGTCGCTGTATAGAAAAGAAGTGTTTGTAGTTCAAGTAAGTCTTCGGAAAATTGAAATGATCTAGTATGAGATAGTTTTCCCATGGTCCAGGAACTTCAGTGATGTTAGCATGAAGTGCCTTTTGCACTTCGGGAGTGTTTAAATAGTCGAAAACATAATCACCTGAGCATGGATCGAAACTTGATACCTGCTTCCAAAGATGAACGGAATGTATTATAATTTGGGGAAGAGAATAATATATACCAAAGAATAAGTGTTAAGAAATACCCCAGGAGCACTTGAAGAGGAAGAGCACAAGGGAGCATAAATGTCATAGCCGTAGATGTTGCCTATGGCTTCCCAGGCTTGTTCTGTGTAATTGAAACAGACTTCTGAAGTGGCAGGCGATGAAAAATTGCAATTTGAGATTATGCCTTCATGAATTTCATCCGAAATTAGAGCACTTGTCCACAAATGGTCAAAAGTTCCTGCACTTGTATCCGTATGATCAATGTATGCATTCCCGATCTGAAAGATCATGTCCGTATTGATATGATAATTCTTGATTAAAAAAAAAAATTAAGAAGAAGAACATACTGAATAAACAGGCAGCATATTGAATCAGAAAACTTACAGCAATTCCTTTCAGGTTAATGACAGTTTGATTTGTGATTTTGTTGTTTTTGAGGATTAAATCAGCTAGTTGAGGCACATAATGACCGGCATAACTCTCTCCTGTTAAGTAGAAATCATGGGATTTGTACTCTGGAAATCTTTCCAGCCAGTTAATTAGAAAGGTATATGAATCTGCCGCAGTTCTTTTGTCTCCAGTAACATAATCTGATGATGTATTGGAATATGAAAATCCAACACCAGCTGGGGATTCTAAGAAAAGGACATTTGCCACTGCATTTCAAGAAATAGAATTTCTATAACAGGAGATTCTTTCAAAAAAAAAATAAATAAATAAAAATACTTCTTGATAACTTGTTTTAATGATGCAAGTACTCACCATTATTCCAAGCATATTTGTTATACCATAGAGTTTTGCCATCTGGATTAACCCGAAATGGTCCAAGTTCAGTCATTGCTCCTGCTCCTATTGAAGAGCAGCCAGGTCCTGCAGTTTCGAGGATAATTGAGATTGCAACAAGAAGGTGAATGGAAGCTCATACAAGAGACAGCATTTGAACTATGCACAAACAGGTTCTTCCTAGTTGGATTATAAAAATAGTGCACATATTTCACGTCATATTATCATTTTCGTGAACCACATCAGCGCATCTATGTTACTTCAGCAAACTCAGAAGGTAGATATAGTGCCTAAACAGAACTAAAAATTCAAAGTCGGGGACTAACTTGGGAAAAAATAAATTCAGCAATCAAAATGAAACAATGCTGTAAGTTGGGTGTCTAGCAATGTTTTTATCCCTTCATTTCTAGCCAAACTAGTAAGTTTTAGTGAAAGCGCATTAGTTAATTTTATTTGTATTCTTAGGATACAATATTTTGGTACATTAGATTGGACGATACTCAACAAAGTTAAAATGAGAAAATATTCGGTCTATTGTATTGTGCATTCATTCCACTACTGTGTATAAAACACATACAAAACGTGCATTAGATTTTCATCTCATACACCTCCCTAATATATTGATCTACACAGGATCCCCACTTGAAAATTCACCTTCTGGGTAAAGAAATAAGCATGTCAAGAGGCCTGTAAGTAGCAATGATGAGAAAAAGATATAAGCAACATGCAAAGTACGACCAGTAAAATTTTCCTAGTGGTACCTCCATTTAGCCACAGCACCAGAGGTTTGCTGGAAGGGTCTTCGGATTCACTAAAATAGTAAAAGAGTGCTCGGCCTGCCTTAGGATCAACAGTTACGTACCCTGAATACTGAGAAAAATTAACCTTAGGTTGTCCGGGCAAAGATAATATCTTGTCAAGATCCTTTATTCCCTCCTGAGGCGCTACATAAACCGGTGAATAATTAGTCAACACTGGATCCTCGGCAGGATTGTTGACTGATCTTTTTGAGCGTCGATCCTTGATAAATTTTCCAAGAGGGTCATAGCCTCTCCCACCGTAACATTGTACAGAAGCCGCGAGGCACAAAAGAGAGAGGACTAAAACAAATTCACCTCTCATCTTTTGCAATCCAACAGAGGTCAGGGTGGGGATTATGTCCATTCTTGTTATTTTTCTTCTTTTATAGTTTCTGCTTCACTTAAATCAACGGACAGAATTCTTTGAAAACATCAAATTTTCTATGTTCTTGTTTGTTTTACACCTCATTGATATTCACTAACTTTAGAAGTATTTAGTGAAGACATAGGGATAACACCAAACTTCACAATGGAATGGGGGCTAACAGATCCGCCGGCTTCACAATGGTTTCTTGGTTTTTAACAATTATATCTTCAAGAAATCTGACACCATATGCTCAAACAGTTTAATAATTAGATTATCCCCTAGTGCGAAATTAATTTGTTTGCCTGAATATGTTTCTAAGATCACTAATTTGATTCCAACAAAAATTTTCGGGAAACAATCCTGTCTATTTCTTGAAACCTTGAGAGGCTGTGTATTTGGACCGAAAAACAAAACACAATAGATTAGAATGATTTTCTCGTCTCACTATTTGAAGAGGTAAGAGTACAAAATGATACCTGACTGAGTAATCAACTACAATCTAATTGCAAAATGACATTAAATAAATATATGAAAACCAAATTACAGTTCCAATTTGATAAAATCCAAGCTCGCCAACCTGTATGCAGAAGATTTGCAGGTTGGTTATGTGCATTTTGGCTAATCTACTAAGGTGGATAGTACAATGCTCAATGAAGAAGTAAAAAATGCTAAAATATTGTTCATGTAAAGTCTAGTAGAACATACCAAATATGCCGTTTGTGTTCGTCTTGTCTAAAAACATGACTCTTCTGGCATGATATGCCAGTTCATTTTAAAAATGCAATAAGTTTGAACATAAAAACTAACAGTTTTCAAATATTTACTTCAAATATTTTCAAGCATTGAAAATAAAAGTAATCCAAACTGTTAGAATTCCAACGAATATATTAAAGGAAGGACCACATAGGTTGTTGGAGATTGTCTTGCATAGCCTAAAGAGACTCGTTCATCTTATCGATATGATCATAGTGACTGATGTTAGAAGAGAGTTAGAACAAAATCTAAAAAATCACTTGTGATTAGCTAATGATCTTCTACAAGATCTAGCTTCAATGTGATGGAAAGAGACGTATAAAGCTAATCTCAAAATAACGTGTGTATGCATAAACTTTAATTCTCAAAACTGTTAAACACGGTGACATCCTTGAATATTTCTTCCCTTGTACGTTATCTTTGATTGGTATATGAGTTTATATACTCACTTAATTTTCTCTGTTTAAGGTTATGTAGTTCTTGGTTCCAGAGTTAATATTCATCTTTTTGCAGCCACTTTCATATTATTGGATAATAAATTATATCAACATCGTCATACTCTTTTGCATTTTAAGGCTTCAAGTAAGTCTTCTCAGCTAAAAAGCAAAACTATTAAATCTAGACCCGGAGAACAACTAGTTTCGAGGCAAGTGATCATTAATACATAAAGTAGTTCCCAAATCTTTGCATCACAAGTAATACGGTGTTATTCAAGTTTTGACATTTCATTGTAAATTTAAATTCCATTATTTTGATACAATCTGCTGAATTAGACTTTACCAATACGACGGGGAAAAAATATCACATATATCTCAACTCAAGATTATCTCTGTGCCGGAAGAAGCTTTCCCTCTAAGAAGGAGGAGAACAAGTCAAGTGCACGCTCAGGATGTGATCTGGGAACAAAATGTCCTGCTCCTCGTATGGACACAAATGTCACATTCTGGTATTCAACTACATAGCCCCCAACCTTACAAGTAATAAAGAATTTGTGTTAGATGCTATCTTTAGTAAAGATGGACAAGAATTAAACATTATAATAAAATCAGATTTTTTAAATTACCTCGCCTTTGTAGTCCCAGGCATACCATGGAGTCTTTACAGGGGACCCAAGTTTGTGCATTGAATATCTAGTTGCCGTTATTGGTAATATCCCATCTGTATCTCCACTGCAGGTGCATTGAAAATTTACACTCAAAATGTGCCTTATGTAACATAATATTAAATATAACAGAACTTTTCGGAGCCTTCTCTAGTGATATAAATGAAACTGCAGTTAATATCTTATTAATTAATATCAGCACACATAAAGGTATTTTACCTATAGATCCAAACTCTAAGGCCACTAGCCATCAGCTTCTTTATGGTAGGTAATACTGTGTCTGGCATGTCTTGCCAGTTATCAAATAGCAATTCACTGTATAGAAAAGGAGCGCAGTTATTTATGGGACGTCTTTGGCAACTTTTTTGATCAATTATTACATGAGAAAGATTTACAAAAATGTTTCAGGTGGAGAAGTGTAGTACTTGCAATCTGCCCAGGGTCCTGGAACTCCGGTGATGTTAGCGTGAAGTGCCTTTTGCACTTCAGGGGCGTTTAAGTAGGCGAAGACATAATCATCTGAGCATGGATCGAAACCTGATGCCTGCTTTGGAACATGAATGAAAGGTGAGGAATTAGAAAACTACCAGAGGAAAGGAGAAAAATATTATTCTAGGATATAAAATATGTAGAAGACAATATTTAAGTGAGATAAAATTGGCCCTCTCTATCAGAGCCTCAGCTACATGCTGAAGAATGAGAATTAGATATACCGAGGGAGCTTTTGAAGAGGAAGAGCACAAGGGAGCATAAATGTCATAGATGAAGATGTTGCCTATGGCCTTATCGGCTCGATCTGTGTATTCTTGACAAACTTTTGTAGAATTCACAGCAGAAGAAAAATCGCAATTTTTTATCACGCCTTCATGAATTTCATCAGATATGAGAGCACTTGTCCAGTGATGATCATAAGTGCCAGTCCACCTATCCGTATAGTCGATATATGCATTCCCAATCTGAAAAATCATGTCCATGTTCATCCTATAAATTTTCATGCATAAAAACATAACATAAATAGTCAGTCAGCAAATTTGACCAAGGAACTTACAGCAATTCCTTTAAGGTTAATGACAGTTTGATTCTTGATTTTGTTGTTTTCGAGGATTAAGTCGGCAAGCTGAGGCACATAATGACCGGCGTAACTCTCTCCAGTTATGTAGAAATCTCGGGTTTTATACTCAGGAAATCTTTCGAGCCAGTTAACTAAAAATATATATGAATCTGCTGCAGTCTTTTTATCCCCAATAACATAATCTGATGTTGTATTGGAATACGAAAATCCAACGCCAGCTGGAGATTCCAAGAAGAGGACATTTGCCACTGCAACATAATTTTCTTAACATGTCAATCTTTCAAATGAATACTTGTTGAAAACTTGTTTAACATATGCATGTTCTAACCTTTGTTCCATGCATAATTGTTATACTGTAGAGCTTTTCCGTCAGGATTTACCCGAAAGGGTCCAATTTCTATCATTGCTCCACCTCCTATTGAAGAGCAGCCAGGTCCTGCAAGCCCAAGGGTACATGAGATTGCTTAAGAACCCTAACGCAATTTCATATAAAGCACTTTTAATAATCTTACCTCCATTTAGCCATAGAACTAGTGGTTTCCTAGAAGGGTCTTCAGACTC